CTCTTTTCTTGCTGCCCCTCACTCTGACTTCTGACAGCACAGGTTTTGAATTTTTACGTTCACAGAATCAGTATGTCCTCCATATTGGCTGTTTCCCTCTCATCGCTGAAAACACACATCTCATCTCGGTTGTTTGTACAGCTCTGGGTGGTTCTGCCCGAGGTGTGGGGCTTGGGGGAGGGGACATGGGGGAGTGGGAGAAGGACTGTCCTCAGTTCACTTATCCACCCCGCTGTGGAGTGGAGAGGAGTCTTTCCTGGCTGGAGCAGCGGGCGTAAAGGCCCTGAGGTGATTCGGCTCCATGTGGCTGGAAAGAAGTGAGTAAAAAGAGAAGGGGGATGATGGGACAGGACACAGGAAGCAGGTGGCTCCTGCTTAGGGCTGCTCTGTCTCTGATCCTGCGACAGACGGAGCCATGGGAGGCGTCAAGCAGGGAGGACCTGACCCAAGCCGAATGTCCGTGTGAATATCTTCCAGCTCCATGGAATGCCCGGGCTGGCTACCTCACTTCTGGCACGTAGTAGGCAGGTGGCCAAGGATGACCTGATCCTTCTGTTTCTACCTTCCACGTGCTAGGATCACAGAGTTGTGCCACCTCATCCATCATCTATGTGTGTATGTATGTAAGTATGTGTGGATCTGTGTATCTACGAATGTATGTACGGATCTGTGTTCCTACGTGTGTACCCATGTACCTATATATGTATGTATCTATCTGTCTGTGTATGCGTGTGTATGTATCTACCTACTTCCTTGCCTACCTATGTATGTATCTCTCTATGCATCTGTCTATGTATACATGTTAATACCTGTGTATGTAGGTAGGTAGGTGTGTAGGTAGGTATCTATCTATCTAGCACATCCTTGCTTCCCTTTCTTATTGCTGACTTTCTTTTTTAATCAATTTTATTTTTATGTATGTGTGTGTGTGTGTGTGTGTGTGTCTTTCACATATGTTCAGCTCCCCTTAAAGGCCCCCAAAAGGTGTCATATCTGGAGTTAGAGTGACAGGTGGTTGGGAGGTAGGTTGGAAACCTAACTTCAGAAGAGCTTCGGTAGAGCTGTATGCTGGTTACTTTTCGATTTTTTAATCAAACTCAGATAATCTGGGGAGACGAATCTTTAACTGAGATTAGCTCATTCATTAGACTGGACTGCAGACAAACCTGAGCTTTGTTCTTTTTGCATTAATGGTTGATGTGGCAGGAACCAGGCCATTCGAGGTAGTGCTGAGTAGGCAGTCCTGAGGTCTACAAGAAAGCAGCTGAGCAAACCACAGGGAGCAGGCAGGCGAGAAGCACCCCTCCCCCTCCAGGGCCTTCAGTCCTTGCCTCCAGTCCCTGCCCGGCCTCCTGCAGTGATGGCCTGTGGGTATAAGACAAACAAATCCTTTCCTCCCCAAGTTGCCCCCAGTCAGAATGTTGTGCCCCAGCAATAGGAAGCAAGCTAGAACAAGCAGCAGCCACCGCCTCGGCACCTCATGTCGAACACATTTCCGAAGGTGGGGTTGAAACAAGGTTCCTGTACACCAGGCTAGCTTTGAATCTATTATCTACAAGGACCTCCAAGATATGGCAATCCTCCCGCCTCAGCTCCCGAAGTGCTGGCATTAGCCACCATCCCCTTCTCATCCATCTAGATTCTGGCTGTAAGAGAGCACGTGTCCAGCTTCTCTGGGTGATCCCGGGGCCACGCCCCTGAGCTGACCTAAATGAAGTCTCTTGTGTTTAGGTACTCTCTAGCTTCAGTTTTGTTTCTGTTGGTTCACAAGACTCAGACTTTATTGAGTATCCTCTGTTGTTATAACATTCTCAGTTATTAGGAATGGCTTCTTTTTATATTTGAACAATTTCATTACCTGTCCTTAGGGTCTAAGTGCTTGACCAAGTACAGTTCTAGGTATGTAGTTATAGAAAATAACTCAAATACAATACCTGTCTCTTTCTCTCTGGTTATTATGTTTTGTTTGTTTGTTTTGTTTTGTTTTGTTTTTGAGACAGGGTTTATCTGTAACAGTCCTGGCTGACCTGGAACTTGCTCTGTAGACCACACTGGCCTTGAACTTCCTGATTTTACTGCCTCTGCCTCCCAAGCACTGGGATTCAAGGCCTGCACCACCAACGCCCAGTTAATCTTAAACTTGGAATCCCTCTTGTAAGGAGGATAAGCATGTGCCAACACCTGATTTGTGTAATGGTAGGGATCAAACACAGTCCCCTCCCCACCCCCCACCTCCCACCCCCCACACACCAGGCAAGCGCTCCACCTGCCTCTGAGCCACAGCTTCAGGCCTTTCCACACCTCATATTAGGAAGACAGGAGCCTGGGAGTTGGTGCATGCCTTCAGCAGTTCCAGCACAGGTTTACAGTTCTAGCTACCCAGGAGGCAGAGGCAGGAAGAGCTCTGTCAGTTCAAGGCCATCTTGGTCCACAAAGTGAGTTTCAGGCCAGTCAGTGTTACATAGTTATGTGTTCATTCAGACTGTTTCCTAGTGGCTGGAGAGGATGGCTCAGCGGTGAGAGCACTTGCTTCTCTCCCAGACGATCTGAGTTTGGTGGCCAGGACCCAGGTCAGGTGGCTCCGAGGGTTCAGATGCCCTCTTCTGGCTTCCATGGGCACACATGTGACACCCACACACACACACACACACATACACATAAAGACAAAAATAAATCTTTTGAAAAGTATAATATTGTGTAAGTGACTGAGACACTTCAAAGCGTACATTTAAAAATTAACTCCTTAAGCAGTGGTGGCGCACGCCTGTAATCCCAGCACTCAGGAGGCAGAGGTGGGCGGAGCTCTGTGAGGAGGCCAGCCTGGGCTACAGAGCCAGTTCCAGGACAGCCAGGGCTGCACAGAGAGACCCTGTCTGAAGACAAACAAAAACAACCCCTTGACTAACACCCAGGGTCGGATGATTCAGCCAGCAATGTTGACATCCAGGGACTCAGGCTGTCTGTGCTGAGCTCAGTTCTATGCGATAGGATTCTGCTGTGCACCCCAAGCTCCTCTTAAACTCTGAGGCTCAAATGATCCTCCTGCCTCAGCCACCAGAGAAACTGGGACTGAGGCCTGTGTCTTTGTGCAAAGTATTCATGTTGGTTTATGTTCATTTGCTTGCTTGCTTTTTGGAGGGAGGGAGTAGACAGGGTCGCATACTGTAGCTCGGCTCGAACTCAGAACATATCCCAGGGTATCCTCAAGTGCCTAATCCTTCTGCTCCAACGTCCCCAAACGTCCTCAGTGCTCGGGTTATGAATGTGTAATAGTACTGTCAGCCCTCTTTCATTCTAACACATAGGAGACCATTTTTCATGTATAGCGATGGGCTCTGTAGTCACGCTCAGCCCCTGAGGGTGACTGTATGAGCATTGACCACTTGGGGGCGCGTCTAGCTCTGGTTGCACCGGCAGGTGGAGACCATCAGAGGGCGCTGCGGTGCTTGTCACACGGGCTCAGTGACAAACTGGGATTATTTCTCTGGACATTCCAGAGGAGAACGCATTGATCCTGGTCAGCGCCAAAAACCCCAGAGCCAGGGCTGGGAACTAATGTGGGGGATGAAGGGATGAAGCAAAATAAAACAAAATTAGATCCTTAGCTGAGCCTCCTGGCACAGTGAAGGATGAGCCCGGATGTGTGTTGACCTTGACCATCTGTCCCCATTCCCACCAGCGACACCAAGGTGGTCGGGGTGGAGGGGATAAAAGGAATATTAGTAAATTGTGAACATCTACAGTGGATTTTTCCCATTCGTCATATTTTCCCTTCCTCCAGATCCTTCTCACCTCTGCCCACTTAACTTCATATTTTCTGTGTCTTGCACACTCCCTCTCTCTCTTCCTCTGTCTCTCTCCCCCCTTCTCTTCCTCTCTCCCTCCCTCTTCCTAAATGTCGTTAGCACCGTCGAACGCAGAATTTGATGGCAGGGCAGAAGAAAGGCACGGGAAACTCTGCTGCTCTGGCCTCTGAGGTTTGGCAAGCCTGTTGCTCCCATCTGGAGCACTGTGTTCCACTTTATCTTGTGCACTTCCCCACGCCACTGAGGTCTCAGCCCTGCAGGAACCCACCCCGCCCCTCAAGGCTGGATTACAGTTTGTTTGCATTCCCAACTCACATCCAGATTCTATGGAAACTATTTATGGGTTGCATGCATGAGGCTGGTGTTTGCGTTGGCTCCCCTCATGTCAGCTGCGGAGTAACTTCCTGACCCACACTGGACAGGTTACTTTCACTTTTTTTTTTTTTTTTTTTACACTATTGGCAGGACTCGGGTTATTTCAGAGCCTTCTGCAGTCAGGCAGGGGCTCTACCACTGAGCCACACCCCAGCCCCTCACTGGGGGAGTCTAAGCAGGGGCTTCACTGCTAATCATACAGTCCACCATGCATAGTGTATAATTCAATAGCTTTTGGTAGAGTTGTGTGGCGCTAGCCCCACTGTAGACAACATGGAGACTTGAGCCCTGTGTGCTGAAACCCTGCTTCACCCGCGACAGTTGGTGTTTATGGTCCTGAATTCTGAAGGGAATAGAGCGCAGCCTCCTCCTCTTCCCCGTGGGGAAAGTTTGGTAAAGAACAAAGCCTAAACTGGGCATTGTGGTGCACCCTGTAATCGTAGAACCTGGAGACTGCCGGCAGGGCGACCAGGAGTTCAAGTCCAGGTTAGTCTACATAACAACCTTCATGGAAAACAAACAAACAAACAAACAAATGAACAAAATGACGAAAACCCCCAACAACTCAGCAGCATGATTGCTTTGAAGATCAGAAAGAGAACGACAGAAAGAGGAAAGCATAGAAACAGAGATAAAGGACAGAAAGATGGGAGAATTGCCAGAGCAAAAGAAGGCGAGGCCAAGAGGGACAAAGCTGGACTCTTGAGAGTCATGGAAAGTAAACGTCAGTTTTGGCGCCGGGGGCGGTGCGTTGGGGTGACTCAGCACACTGTGGAGCCGGCTTTTGAGAAAGAGAAAAAGGCAGGCGGAGGCCGGAAGTACAAAATAGGTGTTTTAATTGAAATCTTTATAAAAGGGCAAAAAGTGTGTCAGGGGACCCAGGACCGGACCAGGCCAGGCCCCAGGCAGGGGAGGAGGAGCAGTGAAAGGCACCCCTTGTGTCCATCCATCCTACGTCCAGGCTGTCTGACCTCCTTGCTCAGGAGCAGGCTAGAGGGAGGCAGGCACGCTCTGGAAGCTCCCGGTGCGCAGGGTAGTGCTGTGCGGGTGGAATCGGAGGCTAGGCGCAGGCGCTCAGGCCCGGGGTCGCGCAGGCGCACAGTGGTGTGGCTGGTGTGTGGGTGCAAATCCGGGACGGCAGATACAGCGGAACGAACCGTCAGTGTTGACACAGCGCGAATTGATGCACGGTGGGGAGGTTCCCTCAGCCTCGTCACACTCGTTGATGTCTGGGGGAGGGGGCAGGAAGGAGTGAGAAGCCCATCCCCCGGCCCGTTGAGGGAGAGGACCACGGAGGTCCAGCATTTCGAGGGAATGCAACACATCACTGCTACCTGCTGGCTGTGTGAGCCTGACCGGGTGATACAACATCTCTGCGCCTTGGCCTGCCAAACGGAGGGGCTGGGGCCTTGGGAGAGCACTGGCCTAGCATGCATCAGGGCCCAGGCTCCTCCCCTTCCACAGCAAAACAAACAGAACAACGGCTGCAGGGTTCTCCTGTTCAGTCCAGCCCCACCCCCGAGCAAGAGTTAGTTTACTCCCCGTAGGCTGGTCTGGCCCGTGTCTGTAACGAGGTCCCTTCTCGGAGGTTCCTCAGCACCGTCTGGTCAGGCTTGCTTTTATTTTACCCTTCCCTCTCTGCCTCCCCTTCCTCACCCACGCAGGACATGCGGGCGATGTCCAGGCGGTAGCCATCGAAGCAGTCACAGGTGAAGCCTTCGGGGACGCGCACACAGCGGCCGTGGGCGCAGCCGTCCAGGACCCCGCACTCCTCGGCCTCCAGGCCCTCATAGGGCTCAGACAAGGCTCCTGCAGAGGACACAGGTGGCCGATGACTGGGCATCTCTGCTTAGGCCTCCTTCCTCCCAGCTTCCCAGGCTGTGGGTCTCATCCCTGTCTGTCCCTCCCGCTCCCAGACTGAAGGGGGCGCTCTGGTAAGACCCTAGGTTCGGCTGCACAGCCCAGGTTAGCCTCAAACTTGCAGCGGCCGTCCTGCCTCCGCCTCCGAGTGCTGGCTGGCCCTGTAGGCCTCTTGCGTTTTCTCTCAGCATCCCCCTTCTTACTTTTTTGTCTGCCTGCTTGGTTTCTCTGACCCGAGCCTCTCACCTGTATAGCCTCCACGCTCGGAGGACTCCTCAGGCTCTGGGAAGGAGCCTCGGGTGTCTCTGGACCGGTAAGACCAGCCAGTGCCTCGGCTAGGTGGAGCGGGAGCCTCAGACTCGGCGTAGGGGCCGCCGTCATCCTCAAAGTCCGGCATGTCGAAGGGTGGTGCGCCATAAGGGGCCTCCCGGCGGGCAAAGGGTCCAGGAGGGGGTGGGTAGGGGTCGTAGGGGAGCACAGGCGGCGGATACAGATCCGGTCCGTACCGGAGACCCTGGTAAGGTGGGCCTATATCTGGGCCATATTCATAGGGCAGTCCAAAGCCTCCTGGGCGCGGCGGGCCGTAGGCTGGGGGCCGCAGCACATTGCAGAGAGCTTCAAAGTCATCTGTGAACGGGAGCCAGGCTACCACGATCAGGACCCACCACTCAGGGACCTTCCCCTGGTGGCAGGGGCTCTGAGAGGCTTGGGGGAAGGCTGGGAAAGGCTGGGGAGGGCGCTGGAAAGGCAGGATCAGGGCCTTTGCTAGCACAGTTGACTTTCCAGGCTGATTCTGGGATTCTGAGATGCTGGGATCCAGGGTCCTCAGACTGCAGCTAAGAGTCAGCTCTAAGGTGCTGGAATTTGGGGGACCGGTAGGAGCTAGGGCTAGGAACCTCTGGCTGGAGAGTCAACGGGGTGGGTTGAACATGGTGATTGAAGCCTGGCGGTGGGGGTGGGGAGGCCTGGGTCTCTGCGACCTGGAGGAATGGAGCCTGGAGGTTTGGGCTCATGTTCTTACAGAGTTAGAAGGAGGAGGTCAGAGATCTTTGGGGCTGTGTTGGAGTATTGGTACTCGTGTGTCAGGGGCCCAAGGGGCCTGGAGTATGGAGAGGGCTGTCTTGCAGGTCATGTCTAGAGGGTCAGGAATTTAAGACGAGAGACCCACAGCTGACGGGGCTGCCCCTTCGGGAGCCACTGATTCAGGCCCTGAGATGTCTGTCGCTGACGCTTACAAGCCTTCAGGATTGTGACCAAGGCTTCGGGACAGGTTGCAGCGCAGGTAAAGTTTTCAAAAGGACCTTTAAGGGGAGGCCTAGGGCTGTACACTACCTGAGTCCTGGGCAGGGCAGAGCGCGCAGTCCATGCCCCAGGCTTCGCCGTAGAGGCAGCAGCACTCTGTGTAGGTGGCCTGCCTGTCTAGCCGTGGGCGGCTGCAGACCAGGTCAGGGCCCACTTCCTGCCAGCACACTCCCAGGTTGTCATCTGTGGGCAACGGTGGGATTTGTCAGAGCAGACAGGCACCAGGGCCCTCCCGCACACACCCAGCTCCCCTCTCCAGAAATGTGAAACATTGTTTTCCTTCCTGAGTACTGGTTTTAGTTTGTTTTTTTGGGATGGTCAGGCTGGCCCAGAACTTGCGGTCATTCCCACGCAAGCTGGGATGACCGGTGTGCACCTGAGCGTTGTTTAAATGAAGTCTCAAAGTTTAAGGGCTTTCGTAGGAACAGAAAATGGGTAAAGAGAATTTGGAGTCAAGGACCAAAGCAAAGAAGGGGAGACGCACAAAGGGTGTGTGTGAGAGAAAAAGACTTAAGACAGGGAGGGGAGACACACACAGAGGGAAAGCCGAGCGAGTGAGGCAGAGCAGGCCTGCACTCCTGTCACTGAGAGGCTGAGCTAAGAATTCAAGCGAGTTTAGGAGCCCGGACTCCACGGTGAGAATCTGTGTGTGAAACAGGAGAGAAAATGGAAAACTGAGCAAAACTTTCGCCTGCAACCACCAGAAGAGTGGTGGCTGCTGTAACCACACACCTTGACCTCAGCAATTAGAAGGCTGAGGCAGGGAATTTCTACGAGTTCCGGGCCAGCCTGGACAACAATAGTAATTTTGGAGGAAAAAAAAAAAAAAGTAAAACAGTTTGTGCCAGGCACTGTGGCTCACGGCTTTAATCCCGGAGCTCTGGGGACAGAAGTAGGAGGGTCCTTTATGAGTTCCAGGCCAGCCTGGGCTACGCAGCGAGACGCTATCTCAAACAAACAAACAAAACTAGCAAAAAGTCAGACTTAGCCCGGCCGGCAGCTGGGGGCGTGGCCCTGGAGCCGGGGGAAGCAGGCAGAGGGATGGCTGGAGGGGCGGGGAGCCGGGGCTGGAGCTGGGCGGGCCGCGGGCGGGGTTACCGAGGCTCTGGCTCTCGTTGGACACGCAGCGTCGCCTGGAGCCGTCCAGCACCAGCGGGGGCTCGCAGGTACAGTGGTAGGAGCCCACCGTGTTGACGCAGCGGCCCCCTTCACACGCCGGCTCCTCGTCGGCGCATTCGTCATTATCTGGGGAGGCATGGGGGCGGGGACGGGGGCTGTGACCCGGATGAACTCCCTTTCACATTCCCCCAGCTCCCTGACGGGGTGATGGATGCAGTCTAGACTGCGGAAGGACTTCCTGCTGGCATGGCTACATTCCTGTTTGGGGCTGGTGCGGCCGGGGGTGAGGGGTGCGGTGTGGGGTGGGGGGACAAGGGGGGCGCATACCAATGCATTCCAGCCTTTGCGCGTGGTAGTAGAACCCGTTGCTACAGTAGCAAGAGTAGCCTGGGGCGGTGTTCACGCACACTCCGCTCTTGCACACCTGGCCCTGGAAGAGCTGGCATTCATCCACATCTGCAGGAAAAGGTGGAGGGAGAGGAGGGCAGGGGTGGCTGGTGTGATCTGAGGGAAGCAGTCACAACGGAGGGACACAGTAACGGCACCCAGAAGGAAAGGGAACCACGGGGCAGGTTGAGGCAAGAGATGCTGGAGAGAATCTGAGAGACAGAAGATGGAGCCAGTTGTGTTGGAGCCTGCATGTAATCCCAGCAGTCAGGAGGTGGAGGCCGAAGAGCGAGAGTTCAAGGTTAGCCTCTGCTACATAGCAACGTCTTGGCTAATCTGGGCTACCCGACCCTGTACCCAAAAACACAAAGAGGAGAAAAGAAAAGGAAAGAGCACCAGGTGGCCATGCACCCCTTTAATCTCAGCACCCAGGAGGCAGGGGCAGGCGGATCTCTGAGTTTGGGCTACACAGAGAAACCCTATCTCGAAAAACAGATAGGAAAGGAAAAAGAAAGAGTGAGCCGGAGCTGAGCCTAGGGGCGGAGGATGGGTGGGGTTGACCTCTGGCCTTACCTCTCCGTGCACTCAGGTCACTGGGCACCAGGTAGCCGCGGCCGTGAGGACACAGTGACTGGTACTCAGCTGCACAGAGAAGCAAGGATGAATCCAGCCATCAGGCCCCCAGTGCCTGTCAGAGCTCACTGGCTTTAGCCCCCTACCAAGCGCTAAAGCCCAGAGCAGTCAGCACCCATTTCTCAGCTTCGTGCCCAGTGGTGCCTACCTGGCGGCTGATGGCTCACACTTGTCCTGGCAGCGCCCATCGCTCAACCCTAGGTCTATGGGTAACCCCTTTCCAGCCTCCGTGTCCCCGCACCCCACCCAGAGCTTGAGCCCTGCGTCCGCACAGCCATGCCCACCTGTCTCAGTGCCCGGGCACTGCTGGATACGGCAGCCGCTGCCCCAGCCCTCGCCCACAGTACAGCAGCATTCCTGCCACGTCACGTTCCGGGCCAAGATGTTGTCACAGGCGTCTGGAGCCGCCGTGTCAAAGTAGCACTCTCGCCGCCCACTGCTCACAGGACCCTGCCTGGGAGGGCTGGGTCTTCGGGGTGGGGGTGGGGGTGGAGGCCTGGCTGGAAGACTGGGGCTGGCAGGTGCGTGGGGCTGTGAGCCTGGAAACGTGCCTGAAGAAACAGATGACGTTAGTTAGGCTCCCACGTCAGCGGTGGGGGAAACAGGCCTCGAGGGTCCCAGCCGTCAGCAAGACCGCATGCTTTGGGGACAGGGGACAGACAAAGTCTCCTATAGCTCAGGAGGACTTTGGGTTCCAGAGTCTCCTGCCTCCACCTCCTCAGGGCTAGGATTTTAAGTGTGCCCCATAACACCCAAAACTAGGGCCAGTGAACGCTCGGCGAGGACTTTACAACCTGAATAGTAACATAATTATGTGCATTATGTATGGGGGGGGTGTTTGTTTTTGTTTTCTCTTTTTCTTCCTCTCCCTCTTTGGTTTTTCAGTTTCTTTGCGTAGCTCTGGCTGTCCTGGAACTCATTATGAAGACCAGGCTGGCCCTGAACTCACAGATCTGTCGGCCCTGGCTGTTAAGGGCCACCACCAGACTTCATGCTGCTTTGTTCTAATCAGTATTGTTCAGTAGGCTACTCTCACCAGAACTCTCAGAGATCCTCCTGCCTCACCCTGTAAGTGCTGGGATTGCAGGTGTGAGGTGAGCCACCATGCCCAGCCTCATTCTGGACACTCGCTCTCTCCCGTCAGTCACTTCTGTATCCTTTGCCTCACAGTCCCACCCTCGCCAGGTGCAGGACAAGGGGGGGAACAGGTGATTTCTTGTGCTTTCCCTGTGCCTCTCTGGGTCCAGGCTGGCCTTGAACTCACAGAGCTCTGCCTGTCTCAGCCTACCAAGTACTGGGACTAAAGGTGGCTAGCACCACCTTTAGTGGGCCTTGAGTCACTGATTTCAGATTCTTGACTGAAACTGGTCTGTGCTGCTGCATGTCCTGAGGAAACATCCAGCCGCCTAAAGCAACTGCCTGGAGGTTAGTGAGGCACACCTTCTGGCTATGTCTGACGGCCTTTCCAGAAAGGACTTCCAGAAGACCCATGGCAGCCTCCAGGGGGGACAAGGCCCGGATTGAGTACAAAGCCGTTTCTCATGCTGGCCTGGGTATCTCTTTTCCCCCTTTGATCTTGCAAGTCTCTAGGCCAGTCCAGATTTCTCTGTCCTGTCATTAGCGAGGGATATCTCTGTCTCTTCATTAAAAATTTCCCCCCTACAACTGGGGTTGAATACAGGGCCTTGTGCATACCAGGCAAGATCTTTATTGCTGAGCCACACCCCAGCCCCTCACTAGTGGGGACTCTAGGCAGGGGCTCTATTACTGAGCCACACCCAGCCCCTCACTGGGGGATTCTAGGCAGGGGCTCTACCACTGAGCCACACCCCAGCCTTTCACTAGTGGGGTCTAGACAAGCACTCTGCCACTGAACTATGTATGCATCTAGCCATCTTTTACTTTTGATTTGAGACAAGGAGGCCTCACGAAGTGGCCCAGGTTGTCACTGAACTCACTTTGTAGCCTTGAACTACAGTCCCACCTCAGCTTTTGAGTAGCCAAGGGTCTTACGGCACCTGGCTTAGCTCTCGTTGGATTTTGAGACCGTTAGGACAGAGACTACGCCTTCCTGCGTAGTCTTACCACCTTACCACCTTACCACCGTGTTGCCAGTGCACAGCAAGGGCCTGGACATGTCGACTGCCTAGATCTACATGCCACAAGAAGGAATCCAACAGAGCCACGTCAGGACCTAATTCTCCGCTGTCCACGCCAGAGACCGCAGCCTGCAGCTCAGCTTGCCCGCAGGTTTCACCCCGTGTGTGCTAAGGGTGTTTGCGTGTTTGTTTAACGAGGCAGCATTCAGGGTCGGGGCTATGGCTCCGCTGCCAGAGGACTTGCCTAGTACAAAGACCAGGGCTCTCACGCCGCATAAGCCAGGCGTAGCGGGGTGCACGCCTACGATCCCAGCACTTAGTAAGAGGCAGGAGGATGGGCTGTTCGGAGTCATCTCAGCTACACAGAACTTGTGGCCAGCCTGGGCTACATGAGACCCCATCTGGGGAAAATAATGACCGGCAAAAGGGCTTGCAGGGCCTCCCAGCCTGGGGGTCGTGACCCCTTTGGGAGTCACCTATCAGTTACTCTAATATCAGATATTTGCATTGCGTTCATAGGAGTAGCAAAAGTATAGTCATGAAGCGGCCACGGAATAAGGTTATGGTCGGGGTCACCCCAGCATGAGGACCCGTGTCAAAGGGTCACAGTGCTAGGGAGGCTGAGAGCTGCCGCCTGCGGGGGAAAAGGCACTTTTCGTGGAAGCAGGACAATTTGAGTTCAGTCCCAGGGACACGTGTACCGGTGGAAGGAAGGAACAAAGTTGTCCTCTGACCTCCACATGTCTGCACGCATGCACACATCATTCCATACGCACCACATTCTACACAAGAATAAAAATTAGAGGCTGGAGAGAGGGGTCCGTGGCTTTCTGCTCTCGAGAAGGAATCAGATCCCTCACACCCGTGTGGCCTTCTGGGGCACTCACACAGACTTGCAGGAACATGCCCACTCTCCGAACACACATTAATAAAAAAATAAAGAACTTTAGGGAACCCTTTTAAAAACGGAAGTAAATAATCAAAAGCTTCAAAGAAATATGAAAAAAGTAATAGCATTTAACTGAGGGATATCAACAGGTACACACACACACACAGTTTCCCCACAGGATCAGCAGGCCTTGGTTAAGCAAACACTTGAATCTTACCGGCAGAAGTCCGTGGGGGCACACAGCGTCCAGTCATGGGGTCGAACTCCTCGGGGCTGGTGGGGCAGACACACAGGAAGGAGCCTTCAACATTTTCACACAGTGCGGAGCCACACACGCCCTGCAGCGTCTCACACTCGTTCACATCTGTGGCCAGGGGACGCGGGAAGAAGGAGCCGTGTTATAAAGTTCTGCGGTCCAGCTGGGCTGGAGAGCTGGCTCAGCAGTTAAGAGCATGGCTGCCCTTGCACGGGAGCCCAGCGCAGTTCCCAGCACCCCCTGGTGCGGACAGGTCCTGGAGAGCCATGTCCTCTTCCTGCCTCTGCAGGGACCGCATGCCTGTGGTGCAGATGATCACTAGGCACAGGAACTAAATCCCCAGGCACAGTGGCTTTCTGTCTGTCTGTCTCTTCCAGCTACATGGGTGTATGTCTTTTAAGGCAGGATCTCACTGTGTAGACCAGGCTGGCCTTAAAACTTAGGCCAACCCTCCTGCTTCTGCCTCCTGAGTATTAGGGTTACAGACATGAGCCAACACTGCCAGCTTTTTGTTGTCATTGTTTCATTAAAACAAACAAAAGAACAAATCCACTGGGTGGTGGCGCACACCCGTGATCCCAGCACTTGGGAGGCAGCGGCAGGCGGATCTGAGTTCTAGGCCAGCCTGATCTACAGAGTGAGTTCTAGGATAGCCAGGTCTCAAAACACAAAACCAAAAAACAAAATAACCCCCCCCCCCAAAAAAAAAACCCCCCCAACCCAATTCTCCCCCCCCCCCCAAAAAAAAAAGTTTTACTCTTAAATCCAGGATGGTTTGTAATCCTTGCACAGCCCGGCTGCCCTCACACTTGTAGCAATCCTCCTGCTTCAGTCTCTAGGGGCTGGCATTAGAAGCATGCACCATTACACCTGGCTCACAATGTAACTTTTTTAAAGGTGTGTGTGTGTGCCCGTTTGTATGTGTGCCATGTTCGTGATTGCAGTGGAGACAGACGACGACGTTCGGCCCCGGGAACTGGATTACAGATGGTTGTGAGCCACCAGGTGAGTTCTGGGAACTCTGAAGAGGCGGGAGCACTCTTAGCTGCCGAAGCCGCTCTCCATCCCCAGAGTGGGTCCTTCCTAACAGCAGAGACTGCTGTTGCCTTTTCTTTTGGTCGGGAGCCTAACATCTCCTCGGGAAGTTCTCTGCGCTTCCAAGTCTGCATCACAAATGCAGCCACGTCTGCACTGGGGCGGAACCAATCAGTTCCCGCAGTTCCGGGTCAGAGGCAGGCAGTGACCTCATCAGCCGCCCAAAGCCAGTCTTGAGGCTCCTGGGTCTCCTTAGCTAGACAGCTGCCAGCCCAGACAGAGCCAGGGCCACCTGTCACTGCCCAAACACAAACCCAGCAGAGGGAGACACACAGCTTTGCTGTGGTTCTTGGCTCCAGTCACATCTGTGTTCATGGCCTTTGCCATTTTAACCCCTTCCTCTCCTCTCCCCCCATGACAGGGTTTCTCTGTGTAGCCCCTGCTGTCCTGGAACTCACTCTGTGAGTTGGCTCAGGAGGTAAATGCTCTCTCTTGATGCCAAGCCTAATGACCTAAGTGTGATCCCCAGGGACCCACGTGGTAGAAGGAAAGGACAGAGTCCCACAGGTTTTCTGCCCTCCACATGCACTGGGCCTCTAATGAAGACATCTGCAAAGGCCGAGAGGATTCTACTTAATGGCGTGCAGAAGAGGATTGGCTCACAACCAACCGTGCTTCCAACACTCAGGGGACAAAGGCAGGGAAATCAGTGCAGGATGAAGTGCAGCCTGGTCGATGTAGTAACTTCATTAAGAAAAAAATAAACTTTAGGGGCTAGAGAGATGGCTCAATGGTTAAGAAAACCATCTGCTCTTTTAAAGGACCGGGGTTCAAATCCCAGCACCCAAATGGTGGCTCACAACTGTCTGTAATGCCAATTCCAAGGGATTTGACACTTTCACACTAATGCGCATGTAATAAAAATTAAATAAATTATTTAAAAAAATAAATTTTAACACACAAAATAAACAAACCTAACTGAAGCCAGGCATGGTGGTGCACACCTTTAAGCCCAGCACTCAGGAGGAAGAGGCAGGTAGATCTATGAGGCCAGCCTGGTCTAAAGAATAAGTTCCAGAACAGCCAGGGCTACACCGAGAAACCCTCAAACAAAACAAAAACAAAACCAAACCAAACAACATAACAACAAAAACTAATTGAGGGGCTGGAGAGATGGCTCACTGGTTGAGAACCGTGACTGCTCTTGCAGAGGACCCGGGTTCAATTCCCACCACCCACGTGTCGGCTCACAACCAACTATAACTCCAACTATGCCCTCTTCTGACCTTCCTGGCACCAGGCACAAACATGGCGCATATAAATGCCTGTAGGAAAACCACCCATAAAATCAAATGAATAAATCTAAAAACAAAAACCCGGAAGCTAACTGAGTAAGCTTGATCCTTTCTGTTTGGGGTCAGGCTCATGCCCTGTCAGCGAGGCTAGCACAGAACTTGCTATCAAGCCCAAGGCTGGCCTCGAGCTCGCAGCGATGCCCTCGTGTTTGCCCACCAAACGCTGGCATTGCGGGAGTGCGCCACCTCGCCTGTCCCTGCAGGACAGTTTACTGGTGTGCCTCGGAGCTTAGGTACCGGAAACCAATCCTGCAAGGGCAGAGCTCGGCCGAACTCCTCCCGCTGTGGTCCCGCCCAGCCCCGCTGCGGCCCCTTACCCACGCAGTGACGCCCGTCCCGGGCGCCCTCATAGCCTTGGTCACAGACGCACTGGAAGGAGCCGGGCAGGTTCTGGCACATGGCGTGGGCGCCGCAGAAGGACCGGTTCCGGCACTCGTCCACGTCTGCAAGCGGCGGCAGGCCGTTTCAGTGAGGTCATCCCCAAACCCTGAGGCCCCTCGCATCCCACCGGCCGCAGGAGCACCCACCTTGGCACCCGCCCCCGGGCGTGGGCTGGTAGCCAGGGTCGCAGGCTGGCGTGCAGCGGTAGGAGCCAGGTGTGTTCTCACAGCGCTGGGCGCCGCAAATCGCCGAGCCGTACTCTCGACACTCGTCCACATCTGCCAAGAGTGAAGGAGGGGCAGCCGGGAGAGTCAGAGGCCTGAGGTAGGGCTCCAGGTGCCGCTTTCAGTCCGAACACTGAGAAGCCCTGAGCCTGGGATTCGAGGAGACTCGCGGCCCTCAGTCCTTCCTGCCAGTTCTCCCACAGGCCCCGTGCCACACTGTTCTCTCCGCCAGGTATGTCCCCGCAGGTATGTGCACTGCATGGACCCTGCCCCTCGGTTCACCGGCATGTCAGACGAAAGCCCGCGTACTCAGACACACGGCGCCACAGCCTTCCCCCACTATCCCGACACATCTGCCCATTTCTTTTTCCCTTTTTCTTTTTTGTGGATAATTTCACACGAGTATTTACATCATTTCCACTCATTCTTCTCCGTGCTCCAATCAATCCCCTGTCCTCCCCACACCCTTTCAGATGGATTGGTTGATTGGCAAGGTATCACTATGTAGCCCTGACTGGCCTGGAACTCATTATGTAGCTCAGGCTGGCCTTGAACTCAGAGACCTGCCTCCCTCTGCCTCCCCAGATCTGAGCCTGAAGCTATATCCCACCATGCCCAGCTTATTTTTCTTCAGTTTTGTTTTAGGGCCAGTCTCTCGTGGGTCAAGCTGGCCTTGAATCCGATGTAGGCAAGGATAACCTTACACCATCCTCTCGCTCTGCCTCCCAGCCACCGGGGCTGTAGGAATGACGCCTCCACATCCTGCCGGTCTCCTTTCGAAGCTAGCATTATTTTTTATTTAGGCTCTCATGGCTTGGGCTGGCCTTAAAACTTGCTAATGGCCAAGGATGACCCTGAACTCCGGAGCCTCCAGCCTTTCAAATAGGCAGCGATCCCAGGACAGCCCTCAGTTTCTGCGTACGTCTAGCATCTACCCCAGGGCATGGCACATTCAAGGCAGGCACCCTGCCAGCTGGGGGACATTCACAGGCTAGTGGCTTCATTCTTAAACCTGACTTCAAACTGAACACGGTAGCATGGCACTTGTAATTTAGCACTCGGGAGTCAGAGTCAGATGTTCTGGCCGCATGACCAGAATTCAGCACTGGGAAGGCTGAGGCAGGAGGATTGCTGCAAGTTCCAGGCAAGTGTAGCCTACACTAGCGAATTCCAAGCCAGCTGGGCTACACACCTGCACGCCTGCACATGTACACAGAGACTCAAAACAAACAAACAAACAAGTTGAAGGCTGGCCTGGACCACACAGCAAGACACTGTCTCAACAAAACAACAACCTACACATTGTGTCTATAAAATTATCAATGTGCAGTGATCATCGTGCCAGGCAAACCCCACACCAATTGGGGGGGGTTCTCCGTGTCAAAGCAGGAACAGCACCTGCTATACGGAAAGGGCCCCAGAGTGGTCTGTGGACCGATGCCTGAATGCGTTTACGTAATCACACCCTGTATCAGCTCAATGAGGGCAGGGGTTTTCTTGGGCTCATTTCCTGCTGTGGCCCCCATGTCTGGTGCCCAGTGGCTGCTTATTGAAGTCTTCGTCATGATTAAGATCTTAGGAAAGGGGGTTCTCCTGAGTCAGGGGTTCAGCCACCAGAAAGGGAAATACAGCTTATAACAGTTTTGTTTCATGGGTTACAGAAAATGCTGCTCCGTAGGGCATCTCTTCCCTTAGAATGCATAGGGCAATTCAGTAAGCGGAGGGCTTCCAGCTTGCCCTGATTCCTGAGAAGAGAGCCCCAGCCCCGTAGGAAACCCCACATCCACAGCAGTGGCTAATTTCCACCAGAGAACAGTGAGTGGAGAAAGAGAGCGTTAGCAAGGGACCTCTCTACAGGTTTTCGAGACAGGGTGTTTCTCTTCTGGTTCCCAGGGGAACAGACTCCAACAACCGGCCACAGATTTGGGGGGGACTCTGTCTTACCGTCACAGGTGCCCTCAGGACCAGGGTGGTAACCAGGATCGCAGTCCTGCACACAGCGGTAGGAGCCCGGAGAATTTTCACAGCGCTGAGACCCGCACAGGGCAGGTCCCCGTTCACGACACTCATCGATGTCTGAGGACAAGGTAGGGGGGTCACAGGAGCAAAGCAGGGGAGTCAGAAGGGAGAAGCAAAGGGGAGGGTAAGGAGGAAAGGGTGGGAGAGGAGACAGGAAGGAAGGAGAAACAGGGAAGCGGCGGGATGAGGCCTCTCACCGAGGCAGGAGGCAAGATCTGGACCGGCCCGGTGTCCAGGAGGGCAGATGCACTCGAAAGAGCCGTCAGTGTTGGTACAGATGCCGCTCTGGCAGAGGTCCTCCTCGCTGCACTCATCTACATCTGCAGGACAGGACATCCACAACCTGGCCACCTCCTCCTCTGCCTAACATTCCTAGCCACACCCCCAGCACTCCCCAAACCCCCAATCTGCTTCAGGCCCCGCCTTTTCGTGCAAGACCCGCCTCTTCCCTGAGGTCTTCCCAATCATGACCTGGCTGTTGAACTCCAACTTTTCCTGACAGGGCCTGCCGCCTCCAGGCCTCCCCAAAGCGCCACCCCAGTGATTCAAAATGTAGATTTTCCCCTAAACCCGCCAAAAAATTCAGGGTCCCCTTTCCGCCCTCTTCCTCTTGTCCCTCCTTTTTCTGCTGTAAGTCCACCCACTCTGCTCTCAGATACAGCCTGGGGCCTCACCCAGACAAGACGCTCCTCGAGGTCCCGGCCGGTAGCCAGGGGCACAAGTACAGGCAAAGGAACCGTCCGTGTTGAGGCACTCTCCGTGGGGGAAGCAGAAGTCGCCTTCCAGACACTCATTTATGTCTAGGGCACGCAAGAGTCAGGGCTGTTGGTCCCCCGGAGTAAATCCTGCCCCTGATGCTGACCCAGAGTGCAACCTTGAAGACTAAGTTACCCTAGATCCATTGCTCTTAATCCACTTTACATCCCTAACGGGCTTTGCCCGAGACTCCAGACCCTACCCCCAGGCTCTCACACCGGTCAGCTAGCCCACCTGCACAAGGCCCGGGCAGACCAGATGGTGCCCGGTATCCTGGCACGCAGCTGCAGTGAAAGGAGCCTTCGGTGTTCGTGCACTGGCCGTGGAGACCACAAGGAGTGCCTGAGCTGCATTCGTCCACATCTGTGGGAGCGGGGTGGGGGCTCAGAAGGGGTCGACTAGAGCAAAAGGGTTGGTGGGAATGCTGGGAAAGGGTCTTGAATGGAGGGCAGAACGTTCCAGGCTCAGAAGTTCTACAGACCTGGGGATCTGAGGTCCCCTCTACCGGGGTTCCTGGGTCAGGGAAAGGGACTCTAGTTTAGCACTGGGGATCAGAAATTAACCAGGGCCAGGCTTAGTGGCGCAGGCCTGGAATCCCAGCACTCAGGAGGCAGAGACAGGCAGATCTCTGTGAGTGTGATGCCAGCCTGGTCTACAAAGTGAGTCCAGTACAGCTAAGGCCACACAGAGCAACCCCGTCTCAAATAAACAAAACAAGACAAGCAAACAAAAGTAAGGGGTAAGGGATGAGTCGGGGTATTGTGACCTAGGATTATTGGATAAGATTCCATTGAACAAATGTGTTAAAGTCAGCTGGAGGGGTTGGAGAGGTGGCTCAGCGGTTAAGAGCACTGGCTGTTCTTCCAGAGGTCCTGAGTTCAATTCCCAGCACCCACATGGCAGCTCATGACTGTCTGTTACTCCAGGACCAGGGGATCTGACACCCTCACATAGACATACATGCAGGCAAAATACCAACGCACATAAAATAATAATAAATGTGTTTTTTAAAAGTCAGCTGGAATCAAAGGTTACAGCCTGATGTGGGGGTGTCAGGGTCAAGGATCATGCACCTGATTAGGTTCCAGGGAGGAGATTCTGAGAGGGGTGCAGACAGATGGTGACCCAGAGTGAAACCAGTCAGGAGTGTAGTTGTCGCTTTGTTCTTGGTTTGGTTTGTTTGTTGTTTGTTTTTGGTTAGGATCAAATGGCACAATCAAATTTAGGGTCCTGGGCCACGAAACATGAGGGTGCAGAAATGAATTATTGCTGAAAGCCAGGCTCAGTGGCTGTCAGCAAGGGGCATGATCAGCACCAAAAGGCCCAGCCGAGCCACGTGTTCCTAGGCTACAGAGTCAGGAATCACCCAGGGTCAGGAATGTGGTCAAGTCCGGGGGGGGGGGGGGGACCTGGGGGGAGGGGAAAGGGGGGGGGGGGGGGTCATGTCCATGTAAAGGGATTGTGCTCCAGGTCTCAAATTTTGGGTCAAGTTATTTATGGTCATGGTTCAGGTCAAAGGTCAAAATCTGAGCGATCATGGTTGAGACACAGGTCCTGGGTCCCAGCTGGACCTGATCTCACCTGTGCATCTGCCACGGTGCAGGTGGTGGCCAGCAGGGCAGGCCCGGCACTGGAAGGAGCCAGGCGAGTTCACACACTCCTGGCCAGGACACGCCAGGTGGTTCTCACACTCGTCCACGTCTGAAAAGCGGGGGAGAGAGCGGTCTTGAGGAAGCGGCCGAGTGCCTCCTCACCCGTCCACACTCCTCCCTCCCTCCCCGGCCTCACCCTCGCACTCGGAGCCAGCAGCGTTGGGTTGGAAGCCGGTAGGGCAGACACACTTGAAGCTGCCTTCGGTGTTCTCACAACGGCCATAGGTGCAGGGCTCCGGGCTCCGGGCACACTCATCCACGTCTGGGCAGAAGAGGCCAGGCAAGCTGAGGCAAAGGCCTGACCCCATTCCCACAGCCACCCCCACCGACTCCAACACTCCAGGCTTTGTTTACAAAATCTCACAGGAAGTCCACACTGGCCTTGAACTCACACCAATCCCATCCTCCTACCTCAGCCTCCCGAGCGCTAAGATTACAGACGGGATGCACCATATTAACCAGCATTCCTGGGTTTTTTGTTTTGTTTGAGACAGGGTTTCTCTGTGTGTCCCTGGCTGTCCTGGAACTCGCTCTGTAGACCAGGCTGGCCTCGATCTCAGAGACCTGCCTCCCTCCCAACTGCCGGGATCACAGGCGTGTGACACCACTGCCAGGCTGCGTTCCACTCTCGAACCAGCCTTTGAGCCTTGCTAGGCTGCCACCTCCTTCCGGAAGGACAAAGCCAGATCCCATTCACACAGCTAACAGTCTCTCCAGCTGCTAGGGGGACCACCACAGCTCAGCGCAAAAGGCACGTGCCTCCGGCTGGACCACCAGAGTCTGAGCCCTGGCACCCACGTGACTCCGTAAATTGTCCGCTGGCCTAGGCAGCGGCACAGGCCCACCTCCCCTCTCACACACACAGCCTGCGTAAAACAAACAAGCAAATAAATGCTCTTTTTAAAACCTAAATAGGAGGTGGGACAGACATTGGTCATTGGTGTTCACCCTTAATACCAGCAGTCGGGGGCAGAGGCAGGCGGATCTTGAGTTCAAGGCCGCTGTGTGAGACAGAGGTGCACTCTCGGTTGGAAGAAAGGAAAGAAGACAGAATTCAGCCAGACCTGCCCGGCTTTCTCATCACTCTCACGTGGCCTCCGTCACGGAGCCCATCCTCAGTAAGGCCTCTCCTCCCGAGTCCCAGTCCCGTGCTGCAGGCGCCCGCCCAGCGCTCTCACCTTGGCAGGGGGCCCCTGGTCCTCGGGAGCGGAAGCCAGCTGGGCAGGCGCAGTGGAATGAGCCGGCCGTGTTGTCGCAGCGGCCTGGCCCGCAGGGCGGAGGCTGCTGGGCACATTCGTCCACGTCTTCTTCACACGCCGAGCCGCGGAAGCCAGGCGGGCACACACAGCGGAAAGAGCCCGGCAGGTTTTCGCAGGCTCCGCGGCCGCACAGGCCTGGGCTCTGGATGCATTCGTCCACATCTGCAGAGAAAGGGCAAATCCCGGGGTCCCGGTGTGATCCCCCCCCCCACATCATGCTACACTCTGCCCGAGCTCCATCACTGTCTTTCCACCCTCCCTTTCTCCACCAACCCTGAGCTGTGGGGTTGGTTCCTGGAAGGCTGCCTCCGGGGTCCTCACGAATGGGGTTACATTGGTCTTCCTAGCTCAGCCCTCCCCTTCCCGATTGCTCACATCTCCATCCCCTCTCCACCCCCTCCTCCATTCTCCATCCACGATCCAGCCCTTCTGTTTTCCATCACTTGGCCTCTCCATCCGATCCAGGTCCCTACATTTGGCTTCCGGGTGCTGGTCTGTGGCCCCCATCAGTAAGCCTGCCTTTGCCCCAGTGCTCAGAGTCTCCAACCTCACCGCTTCCTAACCGCCCTTCGCTTTACAGCCTCTTGTTTTTTTCCCGTCCCCTCCCAGACCCTCACCCTGGCAGCCGGCTCCGTGCGGCGCTGCCTGGTACCCGGCGGGACACACACATAGGAAACTGCCTGGCGTGTTCTCGCAGCGCCCGCGGTCACACGGCGGCGGCACGCGGCGGCACTCGTCCACATCTGTGGGCAGAACCCAGAGCTAGGCCTGGGGCCGACCCACGGTCCCTGAGGGACTGGAGGCCCGGGGAGGAGGGGCAGGGGGCAGGACCAGGGCGGGGCGAAGCTTGGGCCGGACCTCGCCTGGGGCAGAACCGATGGGGTGGGCGGAGCCAGGATGGGTGGGCGGAGCTAGGGTGGGTAGGCGGAGCTAGGGTGGGTAAGCTTACAGCAAAGCAGAGCTCAGTCCTAGAGGTCAGCCTAAGGCCTGGTGGGGACCCAGGCTGAGAGCCAGCTCGTGGGAGGGGACAAATGTAGGGAGGGTAGGACCTGGGCAACGGCGGAAAAGGAATCTTTGTGGATCAAAGGGAGAAAAGGAAGGCAGGGCCAGGGCCAGAGAAGAAAGGGGCAGCTTGGGGTGCGAGCTGGCGTGGAATCAGGGGTCGTTGTCAGATTAACTGCAGAAGTGGTAGAACTCAGGCGGGGCCTGGGGGTGGGGAAGGCGGAGCTAGCGAGAGCAGAGCCAGGACAGGATTTGCACAAAGGCCAGGCCACAGGGTAAAATGGGGCCAGGTTGCGTGCAGAGCAGGGGCCTAGCTGATCTCAGAGCTGTACCCTGGGGCCTGGTGGGCCGGGGTGCTCACCCAGGCACTCCGCCGCCCTCGGGCCTGCTCGGAAGCCCGTGCCGCACACGCAGCGAAAGCTGCCTGGCGTGTTCTCGCACCGCCCGGGAGCACAGGGCGTAGGGACGCGGCGACACTCGTCCAGGTCTGCGGGCACGGGGCAGGCCAGTCAGGTGGCGGCCAGGAAGGGCACTCTCCACCCCAGCCCCGCTGCGCCGAACCCTCCGCCCCGCTCACCGACGCAGCGAGCGCCCTGGGGGCCGAGCCGGAATCCTGGGTCGCACGCACAGGTGTAGCCGCTTGGCCGAGGAACGCAGCGTCCAGGACCGCACACCTGGGGATTCCGCTGGCACACGCCGGGAGACGGACCTGGGGGAGCCAGTCAGAGGTTCCCCCACCTCCGAACTTTGTCCCCTCGGTTTCCCTAAGGTGCCTTCGTGAGCGTCCTCTCCCCGAGTCTAATCTCGGGGGAGCGGGGAGGTGTCCTTTCCTCACCAGCTCTGGCTGAATCCGCCCACACAGACACTCACATCCCAGAGTTCAGATGTGTTTTCTTGAAACCTCCCGCGATGTCCATTTTACAGAATAAACTGGCTGTTTGCTCATTTAGCAGAGAACTGGAGCCCAACGATGCTCTAGTGCCCAAGGGAGCCATTCCTCAAACCTTCCAATTCTTAGCTCGCCGCACCCTTCCCTCTCCCTTTCATCACCCTTTCCCAGCACCTTCACTCCGAGGCCTTTCCCCCACCCTGGTTCCTAAGGCACCTGATTCAGGAACCTCGGGACCGGTCCACGGAGGGATGCTGGGCAAGGGATATTCAGGCCGAGGCTGGGGCTCAGGCCGGGGCTGGGGCTCAGGCCGGGGCTGGGGCCGGGGCTCAGGGCGACGAGTGGGCAGAGAGCCTGGTTAAAGAAAGAGCATCCGTTCAGGTCTGGGGATCTAAACTTGGGTGTGTCTGCGCCTCCCTCCTCATCTGCTTCCAGCAGCACTAGGAGGGCGACTTCCCCCTCCGTCCGGGATTCATCGCACCTGTGGGTGGCCGGGAGGTGGCTGGCGGGGCGCGAGGCTGACTGAAAGGCATTCGAGGCGAATCCTGGTTCAGGGGCCTGGTGTTGTAGCGGAGGTCAGAGGCTGAATAGTGGTAACCGGGCCCAGCTGGACAGATCTCCCGAAAACCCTCTGGGGACAAGGCAAGGAGAGGGCGGGAGAGGAGACAAAATGAGGTCTTGTGAGTGTGAGCAGGCCTTGGGACAAAGCCTGACCTGACACAGCGGCAGCGCAGGCCAAGGAATAGGATGTTCCAGAGGCCGTTGAGAGTTTCCCTCTTCGGGGATGGAGGCACAGTCTGTGTGTCTCAGGGGCGGGCGTGGCTACGGATGGAGGTGGAGTCCAGGGCGCACAGGACCCGGCGGTGCTCAGAGGCTGGGAGCGCACCCAAGGTAGGGCCAGGTTTGAAGCCGCCCACCCTCACTGGCTGAGGGCGGGGCCTCTACGCAGCCCGCGTCGGCAGCTAGCTCACCTGAACCGTAAGGCGGACAGAGCTGGCAGCCTCGACCCCACGCCTTGCCCACTCGGCTGCAGCAGCAGATCTGTTTGGTGATATTTCGAAGAATGGGCAGCGAGCACCCGCCGTCATGGAGCACGCGGTAGCAGGGCCCCTTTGCCTCCGAGATCACGTGCTGGGCTGGGGGATGGGAGGAAAATCTTCAGGGCCTGGTGGGAAGGACAGGTTCTGGGGGGCGGGGTTGAGGGGGCGCTGTCGGGGAGCGGCCCCAGGGAGGGCATAGTGGGTGAGGGGGAGGAGCATTTAGGGGCGTCTGGGAGAGGGATTCCGAAAGAGCGCGGAGGGTGCTCGGGGCTCGAAGTGAGGCAGGAGCGAGAGCTGCCTGTAAGAACCTGAACGCGGTCTGGAGGTCAAGGGGTCGAGAGAATCCGGAGGCCTTAAAGGAACTCAAGATTCTGGGAGGCCAAGGGGCGTGCCTGTGGAGGTTTGGGGGCTGGCGTGGGGGAGGGGCCGTCTGCAATCAGCCCGGAGATCCGTCGGAAGGTCCAGGCTAAGCCGAGACGGCTCGAGAGACTAGAAGGGCTCCAGTCTGAGGTCAGGGGCGAGCTGGGAGCGGCTTCAGCGCCCCCCCCCCCACCCGCCACTTACAGATGCAGCTGCTGCGGGACGAGTCCAGCAGGAAGCCGTCCGGACACACGCACGTGTAGCCGCCACGAGTGTTGGCACACTCCCCGTGCTGGCAACGCCCACCTGTGGCGCACTCGTCCACATCTGCAAGAGCCGAGGCCGGTTTGGGCGAGTTGGCGAGCCGGGGGACGACCACGCGCCCCCGCAAGCCCTGCGCCCCGGCCGGCCTTACCCACGCAGGACCCATTAACTCTCTCGAAGCCGGCTGGGCAGGGCCCGCTGGGCCCACTCGCTCGGTTGGAGTTCCCTGTGGAGAGAGGAGGAGGGTGGCGGGGACCGCTTGGCCGCGCTTTTGGAGAGGACGTGGGGGGCCCGGAAGGGTGAGGTGTGGCCCGACCTCCCCCGGGCAGCCCAGCGGGTGACTTCGGAGGACCTGGAAATGCGTGGCTGGGACGCTGGCACCTGAGCCGACGGGAATGCGTCACCACGAGCAGAAAATAGGACTGAATGGGCTCGGTGGGGTGAGGAAACCTAGGCCAGGAGCGCCCCCCGAGGCCAGGGAAGCAGGGCCGGAACTGCCCGGGGGAGAGCAGGCGAGGCCCGGGCCGGCCTGGGCTTACCCGGGGGCTCGGCGCACGGCTGGCAGTCGCGGACACCCCAGGCCAGGCCCTCCCCTCGGCAGCACACTTCCTGCGTCCGGAGCCCGGGCAGCGGCGACGCGCACTGTGGGGAGAGGGCGGCGTGAGCGCGCCCCCGCCACCTTTCGGGGAGCCCCGGCCCGCGGGCCCGGCCTCACCTCGCCTCCGCGCAGCTCCCTGAAGCAGTAACCGAAGCCGGAGGCGTCCGAGTAGCCGTCCTCGCGCGGCGCGCTCTGGGCCAGCACGGTGTAGGGCGCCGCCGCCTCGGCGCGCGCCGCCGCCTCGGCCCGGGCCAGGGCCTCGGGGTCCGGCTCCTCCCAGGGCCCCGGCACGCGCTCCACCTGGTGCACCACCACCGACGCCTCCTGGGGGTGCTCCACGTGCACGCTCACCATCGAGGCCACGCCTGAGCAGGGGCGAGACGCGCAAACGGGGGACACGCCCACGTGAGCCCCGACGCGCCGGGCGTAGGCCGGAGAGGTGAGCTGAGGATGGGTGCTCGGCATTCGGGGGGTCGTGGGGTGGGGAGGTGGTCACGGGTCAATGAGCCTCCTGCCTCTGCAGCCCAGGGGTGGGGTTACAGCCGCCAGGCTGGGCTGGGGGGAGCGCCAGAGAACGGCCAGGTTCCGGGGATCGGAGGCCCTCTGGCTAAATTCTGCTCACCGTGCTCGTCATCGCGGTGGTTGGCTAGTGGCATGGTGTACACGGAGCGAGTGAGGCCCGGCACGGCTGGGGCCGGGGGCCGGGCCCCTGCGGAACGCAGTTGGCAGAACTTGCCGGCGAAGTCCGGCGGGCAAAGGCAGCGGTCAGGCTTCACACACACGCCGCCGTTGTGGCAGATCAAGGGACACAGGACTGAGAAGAAAGCGGATATCAGTGCCCTGCCTGGCGCCCAGCCCCGTGTCGGATGAGCCCAGCTGACCACTCTCCAGCTGTGACGAGGCCCTCGAGGGACATTCATCCTGCGCTTCTCCGCCTTAGTTCCTTTTCGTTTATTTGCTCTTGGGATTTTTCTTTCTTTCTTTCTTTCTTTCTTTCTTTCTTTCTTTCTTTCTTTCTTTCTTTTTTTTTTTTTTTTTCGAGACAGGGTTTCTCTGTGTAGCCTTGGCTGTCCTGGACTCGCTCTGTAGACCAGGCTGGCCTTGAACTCACAGAGATCTGCCCGCCTCTGCCTCCCCTAGTCCTGGGATCACAGGCGCGCGCGTCCGGCTTGCTGGGGCTGGAGAGATGGCTCAGTGGTTAAGAGCGCTGTCTGCTCTTCCAAAGGACCCGAGTTCAGTTCCCAGCACCCACATGGCAGTTCACAACTCTCTGTAATGCCAATTCCAAGAGACCTGACACCTTCACACTAAATGCACATAAAATAAAAAAATAGGGGCTAATGTAGCCCAGGCTTGCCTCAAAAGCGCACTCTTCGGACGACTGTTGAACTCCGGCGTCCTGCCTTCTCTTCCCAGCTTTTGAGATTACAGCAATAGACCCCACACCATTCCCCAAACTTGGCCCCTTGCTAGAGTAGGTCGAGCACCGCGTAGTCCCTCCTACTAGGTGGGCTCGCTCCGCCCGGTCCTCCCTCTCCATTCACTTTCCCGGCCGAGCTCGGGAGTTCCCGCCCCCTGGATTACCTCCGCCCACCATAAACTCCCTCAGCGCCACACGACCCTTTCTGTCGCAGCTGGACGCCCGGCCTCTCCCATTGGCCAGAGACTCCTTCCTGGTCCCTCCCACAGGGCCGTCCACCTGAGCTTGTGAGCTCCGCCCAACCAAGACACCTGGCAGCTCCAGCCCCGCCCACCCGCTTTCCTCGCTCTGATTGGCCCTGACGCGTGCCCCTCCTCTCCTGGGCGTCTTGGCCCCGCCCCCGGCGGCCTTCCCTCCCGCCTCCGGTAGCGCTGGGCGGGGCGGCCCGCGGGGACGCGCCTCCCCTCCGCGCGCCCTCTCCGGGCCCCGGGCCACCTCTGGGCGGGGCACTGCCAACTGTGCGGCGGGGTAAACAAAGAGGGGTGCAGCGGGGCCAGGGCGTCGTCTCCGCATTCCGGACCCTCGGGGAGCCCCGGACTGCCGAGCCAAAGGAGGCCGGACGCGTCTCTCCGGAGCACCCCCTCCCTCCCTTCCTCCCCTGGGGCTGCCGAAAACAGCTGGAGACAGCTGCGCGCGGGCGAGGGCGGGAGCAGACGGCCCGGGCTGGCCGGGAGGTGTGTGTGGGCTCTCTGAGCCACAGCTCGACAGGGGTGGACCCCTCAGTTGAGACGAGCAGGGGACGCGCGTCCTCGGAGGATGGGAGCATGGGCGCGTGCTCTGACGCTCGGAGACGACCCAAGCTGTCTGGGAGGCAGGGAGAGGCTAGCTCAGAGCAAATCTAGGCTCTCAACCAAGAGTCTTTCAGGTCCCTGAGGAGGGTTGCCTAGAAAACAGGACTGGAGCGCTTTCTGGAGGCGGGGGGCGTGGCCCCTGTGCGGTGCTGAGGACGAGGAGAGGAGTCTGGAAGTTTCCAGCGCATTAAAGGCCTCAGGCTGCCGGGACTCGGTGGAGAGCCCTGCTCCTCCCCAGCCAGGCGGCTTGCCTGCCCTCGGTCTTCCTTAGTGGCGGGCCGCGCTAGCAGCGTGGTCTGCGGAGGATGAGACCAGTTCTGGGGTTCTCTGAAGATAGGTGGGAGAGGGTGGGACAGCACTGGAGAGTCAAGGCTACCTTAGCAGTACAAGGAAGCCTAGGCCGTGTGGGGAGAGAGGTGCTGGGAGGGGGGACTTTCCCCCACTTAAGACTTTTGCTTTTGGGGGAAGTGGGGACCCGTGGGTGACGGTACCAGGACTCTCCTGGAAGGGGCTCAGCTTGGAAGAGAGCCTCCAGCGAGGGAGAGGGGCTTCGCTGGAGAGCCCGCACTGGGGCTGGGGCTGGAGCGGGAACTTCGGCGGCCACAAACCGGATGCCCTGGCAGGAGCCTTAAAGCACCTTAATGAGGTCCTTTACGCGGCACAGCTTTAGGAAGGACCCAGCGGAGAAGCCACACTGCAGAGATGGAACCGTCTCTGCCCGGCGCAAGCCACCAAGGTTAGGGGCTTTGCTTGGCCTCAGGTCATCCCCCTGCCTGCTCGTGGCTTGAACGCAGAGCCCCACTGAGGGCGCCCAGACAAGGGGCTCGCCGCTGGAGAGGCAGGGCTGACTTCACGGCCCGCAGCGTTGGGAGAGCAGGAGCTGACACCGGGGTCTTGCCGAGGTCAGCCCGCCTTCACATGCCCCTCCTTGTGCCTCCAGGGGCTTGGCACCCGCCTGGGCACGGCGCCTGGCACGGGCGAGTTGGGGCTGGGCCGGGAGGGAGTGAAGGAAGGAGGGAGGAAGGGGCGGAGAGAAGGAGTGGTAGCGGGCGGGGGCTCGGGCGGGAGATGAGCTCACGCCGGCCGGGTTGGGCTGGCCGGGGGCCAGCCTGGGCGAGCTCTCGGCGCCAGGGGCCCCGCTCCCCAATCCGGAGGGCGTGAGGGGTGGGGGGCAGGAGAAGCCCGACCCCCGGAGAGCCGTTCCCCCCCAGCGCTCCGGGACGGCAGGTGGCACGCCCCCCCACCTCACCTGGCCCCCCGAGTGCTCCCCTTGTCCGGAGGAGGCTGACGCGCAGGCTCGTGCCCTCCTCCCCCAGGGGGCGCCCTTCCCCGGGGCCTCCGAGCCGGAGAGCTGTCGCACGTGGAACCGCAGCAACTCAGGTCTCGCCGAGAGACACCCCGTCCTTCCCGGGCCCCCTCCCCCTAGCTCCTCATCCCCGGCAGCCCCCCTCGACAGACACAGAAACTGGAGAGGTCCCCTCCCGACCCTGAAGTGCTCCCTGCCCACCCACCACAGCGTCTCCGAACTTCCTAGAAGTCCCAGGTCCCTCAGCCCGGCGCCCCGCGTCCCGACGGGAGAGGAGGAACGCGGCTGCCCGGCCCTTCACGCGGGCCACCCCGGAGGTCCGCACAGCGCTCCCGGCTCCCGAGGCTGCGCTCGGGGACCCACCCCCGTCCAGCTGCCCGCGGCCCCCTTCTTCAAAGACGCCAGCGACTCCCCGGCGCGTCCGCCCGGGGGACCTGGGCTCCCGATCCCGAGGCACTGTCTCCAGGGTCCTCCCTCCGGCGCTCCTCCCTCGGGAGCACCCCCCCGCACTCACAGGCGCGGAAGCCGGGTCCCCCCGGGGCCGCCCCGCCGGGCGCGCCGCTGTCCACGCTGGTGGTGTTGCGGGGCGCGCAGGTCGGGGTGCAGCGGGAGCCGGTGGGCCCGTGGACGCAGCGCAGGCCGCACACGGCGGGCGTGAAGCGCACGCGGAGCCGCTCCCGGGGCCGGCCCAGCGCGGGCCGCGGCCCCAGCGGCGCCAGCAGCACCAATAGCGACACCCCGAGCAGCCGCGCGCCGCCCGCCATGGCTGCAGCGCCG